TGCCAACATAATGTCATTTTGACTTTTATCTAAAAAAAAAAAACATATTTTAAAAATTAAAGTTACGTCCGTTGAATGCACCCAAATAATCGACACATTTTTAGTATTGCTACTTGTCAATAGATGGCGCCACCTAACTAAAACCTGTGGCGTCTATCGGGCCACAGCTTCGGACAGGAATATTGCGCCACTTTTACTATATTAAAACTAGAACTAAAAGCATGAGAAAACTACTAAATTATGGCAGCCGAAAAACTGCTAACGTCATGGATGCTGGTCTTGTCACTGAATCCACCTTCCGCTTTCATCTGACATGCGTGACACGAACTTTTCCTAAAAACCTTAAAACCTAAAAATCTAAAATCCTAAAATCCTATCGGACAACTATAACTGAGTGCCCTCAAACCACATAATTTGTAATTTTAACAATAAAAATTCGTTGTTTATTTATAAAAATGGTTCGAAGAAGAGAATTTAATTAAATTTATTTAAATAATTTAGAAATTTCCTCTAAAGCCTAGTACTCATAACCATAACTCCGAAATTCGCTTTTTTGTGACATTGCTTCGACAATTTGACGTTTAATACACGCATAAAACGTCAAATTGTCAAAAAAGTGCGAATTTCGCAGTTATGAATACTAGGCTTAAAAGTTGTCTTTTTTCAAATGACTAACAGATTGCGTCATGTGTCCAGCGTCATTCCATCAATAGAGTCAACATAACCTCACTTTAATGTTTATATTTATATTTTGTTTATTTATATAAATTTTCCATTTTTCCAGATAAAGAAAAGCCAAGAAGTGCCTTTTAATTAATAAAATAATCCAGCAAAGGAAAAATATGAAACATGACTATGTACTTTTGCAAAAAAAAAAAAAACATCATCCAACCAAAGAAAGATTTTCTAGTTCTGGGGGCTTCTGGAGTAATTTTTGGGGGCTCCGAAACATGTTTTTCTGATTCCCGGTAGGAATTCGAGTTACATTTGTAAAATAGGTAAAGATTTTGAAGAATTATTGAAGTGAATACTTCTTTGGCCGCATGAGAGTGATTTTTCAAGGTCGCGTCACGACACGATTTATAAAATTTTCGTCTCGCAAGTGAGATGAAGCATATGATGAATATGAGGGAGAGAGAGAGAGAGAGAAGAGATCGATAAATAAGTATTCACTTCTATCACGTGTACTGTCGCGAGGGATTTCAGTAGTGGAACTGTGTACACTAAAATACCACTTCTGACAGAAATTACCACAAATTACCAGTAATTTCCTCTAAATTACCACTTTTTTCCTCTATTACCTTTCATTGCCTCAGGAATTACCACTCAATGCCACTCAAATTACCACTTATTACCTCTTATTTCTGCTAAATACCACTAATTACCACTATCAATACCACTAATTACCACTGTCAATGCCACTAATTACCACTGTCATTACCATTAATTGCCACTGAAATTACCACTAAATACTAGGAATTTATTTTAATTTTCAAGTATACCCGAGACTAGAACTCAATAACAAATCGAGATGTTGAAAGAAGAGCAAATCAACATGTTCAAAGTTGAAAAAGAGAAATACTCAAGGAGGCATTTCAACATGCCTCGAGGAAAAAAGGATTCCAAAATCCTGCAAAACTCAAGTTCCATCTTCTAGAAACTGGATAAAAATCATTTGATTCATGCGAGGATTCATGGTAAAGGAACAAACCGAGTTCACCATCAGCGACTCCAGAACATTCCGACTCTAGTTCGGATTCCATCTAGAAGACGAAAATATGAAAAAATACGAAATTTCACACGCTTTTGCAGATCCTCACAAATATTTGCTTATTTGGCTCGGTATTTGGCATCCATCAAGGATAAGTGAAAATCTAGAAAATTGAAACTAGAGAAAGAGAGAGACGGAAACACATAAACACCTGCTATTTGTAGCTATTTGCCGAATGTGTGATAGAGGCTCAAGGTATTATCAGGGCCGTATCTAGACCAAAATTTTTAGGGGGTTAGACCAGTGGCAAAAAAAAATAGTTACATTAATAATAAAAATAAAAAAAATAAGAATTTAATAAGTGTTGTTTGTTTTCAAATATTTTTTTTTTTAAATTAATTTTGGGGGGGTTTGCACCCCCAAACCAACCCCCCCCCCCAGGTACGGCCCTGGGTATTATAATAATATAAGATTGCACTCTATCACATTTACCTTGTCCTTTAAACTTATAAATCTGAAACACAAAACTGGGCCTTAAATGAGACGAGGACTTGAAAGTTTTAAAATGAGCAGTAAAAACGACGTTCATAGATGATGTCAAACCAAGTGTAAAACAATAATTGCAAGCCACTTCTCATGTAATGAAACCTCAAATGAAACATTCCTTAGAAAAATGAAAGTTGATGTTTCTAACTGACTAATAGGCACACAGAAGAATATTTTGCTTAAATCTTTTTCTAAGGCATATCATAATTTTATCATTACTGAACTTTGAGGTATTACCACAAAATTTCCTTCAATTACCCCCAAAATTGCCTCAAATTACCAAAAATTACCCCAAATTACCACTATATTTCCACTATATTTCCACTAATTACCCTAAATTTCCACTAAATACCACTGTATTTCCCCTAATTTCCAGTCATTACCACTCATTTCCCGTGAAAATTCCACTAATTACCACGATTGTGTACACTAAATTACCACAATGAAATCCCCCTCGTGTACTGTGCTGCATGCGGCTTTTTTTTCTTCTATTATACAGTGTGTCCCACTTTTCATGAATACACCCCGATATCTCGGTTAGTAATAATGCGATTTTATTCAAATTTTAGTGGTGATTGTATGTTAGAAAAATGAACTATTTGATATAGTAAACACTTCTATTTACCATTGGCGTGCGGAGTTGGGGGGTAAAAAGGGGTTGTATTTTCGGGGAAAAGATATTAGGGCATATTTTAAATAATTTTTTGTATCAGATTAAGAATCAGCGTCCCCAAAAACCCCTTAATTCATATTTTAAAAATCTCGAGAGATGATTTTAGCAAAAAAAATAATAAATTTATTTTAATTTACATTTTCTAATAAGCTGTTTATTTCTAATTAGAAGGTAGCTATGTGGAAAATACGATATTTTAGAATAATGTTATCTGTAATTTGGTCATCACAATTAGAAATAAGCAACTTATTAGAAAAAGCGAATTAAAATCTATATTTTTTTTTTGTGTAAAATCAGCTCTTGAGGTTTTGAAAATACATATGAATTAAAGGGTTTTTGGGGATGCTGATGCAAAAAACTATCTAGAATAAGCCCTAATCTCTTTTTCCCGAAAATACAACCTTTTTTTACCACCCAACATGCACGCCAATGGTAAATAGATATGTTAACTATGTCAAATAGTTCATTTTTCTAACATAGATTCACCACCAAAATTTGAATAAAATCGCATTATTATTAACTGAGATATCGGGGTGTATTCATGAAAAGTGGGACACGCTGTAGATAAAAAGCTGAAATTTTCAGCGATTTTTATCCTAGTAAAAGACTACATTCCCTGAAAATTTCAGCTCATTTGGAGTTATAGTTTCTGAAATAAGATCGCGTTAAGCAATTTGGGGTATATAGATTATCAATTTTCCAATTTTTCTGAGTGCCTTTTTTCATAGATTTCGGCTTGGAATCTCAGTATAGAAGATTAAAAAATTCGTAATTCCGCTATCTTCAATTTTTTCTCAATCAAATTTTAGTGTGTTATTCCTCGTTTTCCAATATTTCCTAGATTTCCTGGTAAAAATCAAAAATCAGGCCATAGTCTGTATTGTAAAAATATCACTTAATGTCTCTTTGGGATTAAAAAATCGTAACTCCGCTATCTTTGGTTTTTTACCAATCAAATTTTGTTATATTAAAGCTAAAAAGCTTTTGGATATATGAAAAAAAAATTCATTTTACAAAGTATCCCAGATTTCCTGGAAAAAATCAAAAAACAGACAATAATCTGTATTGTAAAAATATCACTTAATGTCTCTTTGGGATTAAAAACCGTAACTCCGCTATCTCTGTTTTTTTCCCAATCAAATTTTAGAATGTTAAAGCTAAAAGGCTTCTGGATACTTAAAAAATTCCTCATTTTCCAAAGTTTCCCAGATTTCTAGGAAAAAAATCAAAATTTAGGCCATAGTCTGATATGTATTGTAAAAATATCACTTAGATGTCTCTTTGGAATTAAAAAATTCGTAATTTTGCTATTTTTGGTTTTTTCTCAATCAAATTTTAGTATGTTAAAGCTAAAAGGCTTCTGGATATTTTAAAAAAAAAATCCTCATTTTCCAAAGTTTCCTAGATTTCCTGGAAAAAATTCAAAAATCAGGCCATAATGTGTATTGTAAAAATATCACCTAATGTCTCTCTGGGATTAAAAAATCGCAACTCTTTGTTTTTTTTTCAATCAAAATTTGGTATGTTTAAACTGAAAAGCTTATGGATATTTTAAAAAAATCTGCCACTCGAGGTGATCGGACCGAAAATAATAAAGCTATGAATTTTCTAAATTAGACCAAAATAAACATTGACAAGTTTCTATTTAATCTATTTTGAAATTTTTTACTCAAAAACTATCAGAGGCGCAAATCTGAAATTTTGAGGCTCTATTCTTGAAGGTTGAAGGTAAAACATACGAAAAATTCAAGGTGATCGAACCGCCAACAATAAAGTGATGAATTTTCTAAATTAAGCCAAAATAAACATCTATTTTGCAAATACAGGATGTATAAAGAAAATCGTAATTTTTTAAAACTCAATAATAGAGAGTACCTACCTGCACCATGACCTTGATCACCTAAAATGACCAAATTTGTACAAAATTTATTCAATTCTTATTAATATAATTTGTAGTTTTAGTTTAATAATTCTTAGTTTATTTTCAATAAATCCTTGAATCAAGATTACAAAATCCGACAACGCAGCAAAATTGTCTTGCCGGAGCCAACGAACGTAACGAAATTCAGACCGGAGTGGAATTCTCGTGCGCGTTATTCAGTTTTGTTTTCTGCTTTAGTTCCCATTAACGTAAAACTTATCAGTTGCGCTCGGAATTCGAAACGGAAAAGAACTTTTTCAACTTGAAATTCGAAAAGTTTTCCGTTGTTGTAAAATCAACCCACAGTGAACTTTTTATTTTTATGTAGGTTTTACGTAACAAGCGTTGTTTAAAAAATTATCTACATGGTGTGTTTATGCAATATGAAACAATTTTTAACTTTTTTCTTATTTTGTCTTTACTTTAATAATTATTGTGTGTGATGGTGTAATAATGTTTTAAACTTTTTTTCCTTTTTTTTTTTTGGATTATATTATAAAGTACTTTTATAATAATATTTAATTGTGGAGCTTATAACTTATGGTAGGTAAGCAAAAGATAATTTATTTTATTAAATAATTATTACTTTTGTGTGGACGAAAAATTAAATAAAAATCAAAATAATTAAAAAAAAATCAATAGATGTTAGGTCTGGAAATTGTAAATCTATGGAGGGCCAATACGATTTTGAATCGTGATAAAGATGAAAAATATTTTTGCATCAAAATTTCATTAAAGGTCACAGAATGATATTGCATAGTTATCTAAGTACACTTGTAAATAAAAAAATCAAACACGCCATATATGATGGAGCGATGTGAAATTTTATTTTATTATTGTGATTATTAAATATTGACCTACCTTATTCATTCTTTTTGAGTCTGTACATTATCCATTGGAAAATAACCAAATAACATGTTTGTTATTAGATTTTTTTCTTTATTATGGTAATCAAATAATATTTAATTACTATTTACCTACAACAAATTATTATTATGATCTTTTTCCTCTGCCCCCACAAATACTCAAATTCAGTTGTCAAAAAATTCAAAAAAAATGTCTGACTACTTTGTATTTTTCCAAAATTATAATTTATACATTATTACACACATGTCTGAAAAATTAAAAAGCCATTGAATGATTGGAATAACGTAAAACCAATCGACATTTTTCAATTTGAGGGCAAATGATCAACGAATTTATTGAAAATCACGTGTTATACCTACTGACATTGGGCAATGAACTAACCTAGGCCAATAATAATTGAGTGTTTATTGATAAGGGAAATTGACCTCGGTGGAAAAAAAAAATTGCCAAATTAACGACAAATCGGTGTTAATATTGACGGTAATCATTATTAATAGAAAAAGATGATGAAAAATGAACTTTTTGCATATTGTAATAGAGAAAATAAATATTTTCTACTTTTTTGTGTTATCAATTTTTTCTCGAATTTTCTCAAATTTCAATTTTGTTTATTTTGTATTTATTCCTGGCTTTTGAATTTTCTGCTTTCTTTTAATAGAGAAAATTTGTTTCTACTTATTTATCTTTTTTTTTTCTTTCTTGCTATATTTATTTTTTGTTTATTCTCGGCTTTTGAATTTGAACTCAGAAAAATTGATAAATTTACCCCAAATTGTTTAACGCGATTTTATTTCTAAAACTATAGGTCCAAATGAGCTGAAGTTTTCAGGGATTGTAGTCCTCTACAGAGATCAAAGGCGGCTCGTCAGAGGAGACAGGGGAGGCTAAACCTCCCCCAAAAAATTCAAAATTCAATCTCAATTTTTTATTCCTGATTTCTAATTAAAATAATAATTAACAAATTACACTTTCCAATTTTCGATATTTCAATGTTATTTAGAAAAATCTAACAATATTATTTCAATCAATCCCGCGCCTCCACGACAAATATCTGTGAATCTGGGATACTCATTAATACCGGCCCGAAGGGCCGGAGTTATATGCGAGCCCGAAGGGCCGGAATTATATGCGAGCCCGAAGGGCCGGAGTTATATGCGAGCCCGAAGGGCCGGAGTAATACGAGCCTGAAGGGCCGGAGTTATACGCGAGCCCGAAGGGCCAGAGTTCTACGCGAGCCCGAGGGACCGGAGTTATACGCGAACCCGAAGGACTAGAGTTATTTTAATCACGGGGCCTAGTTTATAATTCTATTGGTCAGCGGATAATTTAAAGCTAATTAAAAACCGGGAGTATTTAAAATACGAGTCGGGAATATTCAAAAACTTTAGTTTTATCAAATTGGCTTTGGAATGTTGGTTTTCTTAAGATTTTTACTTTTTTCAGAAAACGGTGGTTTTTTTTGTTTTCCTAAATGAGATGTGGCAACGTTGCTTTTAGCAGGGGCGTCGCGTCGGGGGGGGGGGGGGGTAATGAGGGTAATTACCCCCCCCCCCCCCCAGGATCCAAAATTCAAGGAAAAAATCACGATGCCCAAAAGAAAATACATAATAATATTAAAGAATACAGGGTGTCCCACCAGTGGCGTAGCCAGTAGGGGGGCAGGGGGGGCGACGGCCCCCCCCGCCCCTACAAGTATGGCGCCCCTACCGCTCTTAAAAAGCAAAAACAATAAATTATAAAATTATGCTGTTTCTTATTTATTTTATTGATCTCTTTATTCTTTAACGTAAGTTGGCTGTTGGCAAATGGTTCAGTTCAATCAAAGGAAACATAATAGTTTCTGTTTTGATGACTGATGTGGTTGAAAAAGGGAGTGACTACTGCACTGTCCAGACAGTGATGACTGAAAACTATCTGCACTAACCAGACAGTGCCGACTAAAATCTATCTGCACAGTCAAGACAGTGCTGACTAAAAACCATCCGCATTGTCCAGATAATTTCATCATCATAACATCATATCATATAAAGTTCAAAATGGCTTGGCTTCCTTGGGATTCAGTATGTTAATATGCCCTAGGTAGTTATTTTTGTATTGAGTCCGCAAAATGAGTGTTTTTTTAATGGTACCTGAGAGTGTCAATTTCCACAGGTCAGGTCTAGGCGAGGCCATATAGTTATTTTCCTAACCTAACAAGTGCTCAAAGTATTACTTTGAGCACGGAAATGCGTGCGGAAAAGTACTACTTTGTAGGAAGAATGTTGTCTGTATTTTGTATGCGACATTTGTGGTAATTGACAGCTCTGAATGAATTTTTGGCCTCGTCCTGACATGTGAAAATTGACACAATTAGGTACTGGGTATTTGTTTATAACTGGTACACTCGATAAACTTTCTTATTTTTGAAAATAAAGGGCATGTTCAACACGTAGTTGGCAAATTTCTTGGGAAATCGCAACCTTAAGCGATACAACGTCATTTTTTTTTGCTGTCTTCATAGGTATACAGAGTGCGCCAAAAAGGTATTTATTTCAAATGGAACGCCCCATATATTTTTGTTATCCAAATAGTGTTTGATATTTTTGTGAAGTTAATTTTCTTAGAATTTTAAAAATGCAAAAATGTGCTTACAAAAAATTACTTTTTTGGCGCACTCTGTATACCTATGGCGACAAAACAATATTGTTGTAGCGATTGAGATCGTCGCAATTTACCAAGAAGTTTTCCAATTTAAACATGTCCTTTATTTTCAATAGTAAAAAAGTTACTGAGTGTTCCAGTCACTGGCGCCGACTACATGGGGGCATCGGGGCTGGTGCACCCATGAGCAACCTCTCATGGGGAATGCGGAAGTACAAACCACAAACGTGTTTAATGGCCATTCCAACGGTGGTTCAGCTGTAAGTACTTGATATTTGGCTTACTTTTTACTTACTTTTTGATTTTGTTTTTCTTCTTCTTGTACCTTTTTCTTTGACTGTACAGTGTATCCCATTTTGGAAGTACATAAGGGATATCTCAGAATCTCAGTTGCTATTGGAGTTAGAAGGATGCGGTTTTCGCTCGGGTTTTCGGGAACGTTAGCTACTCTTCTGTCAAATGAAAGATGCCGTTAACAAAATTGTACTCGTCTTTTCGTTCTTAAGATACAAGGTGTTTTCTAAAATATTGCATTTTGGGACATCCTTTGTAGGTAACTCCGCTCTCTCATAAGTGATCGAAAACGTGACAACGGGTTTCTATAGATATTTTTACGTAGATTCCAGAAGCATTGTCAGTTTTTCTCTAAAAGTGATAGTTTTTGAATTATGAATCAAACATACGTTATTTCAAATGAGACGCCCTACATATAATAAATTCATTGGATAGCTTTGCTTTTGCTGATTTCAATTCAATCAAAATTCGATACCTTTAAATCTGACAGTTTTCGAGCAGAAAAAATTTATCTGTTTTTGTCATGAGAAACAGTGTTAGAAAGCAGAGCTGTTGTAAGTACCAAGCAAGAAAAAATACTTAAGTATCAAGTACAAGTTTCTTTTTCAAGACGAAGCAAGTACCAGTATAAGTACAAAAGGCAGGAAATACTTAAAATATCAAGTAAATTGACTTGAATTGTTCAAATTCAAATACAAGTAGCAAATTCCACGAAAGTCAGAGTTAAGTTTAAGTATTTACTTAAACTTGCGTACTTGAAATGACATTTACGTAGAAATACTTGAAAAAATTATTTAGGTATTTTTTATTTCAAGTATCATTCCAATTAAACTAACAAATTAAATTATTGCTATCGATAATCTTAAAGGGGATGTGACCCAAAAATAAAAATTTTAGAAAAAAAAATCCAAGAACGAATTTTCAAGCCGCACTAGGTTTCGGCCAACCGTTGCGGAGATACCGCCACTCCTAGCACTGTGACGTCATATGCACAAACTGAGTCTGACAATATTAGCTGTGTTCCAACCGACATGAGAACCGTTCCAGAAGCAGCAATTTCCAGTTGCTCACCTAAGTTGAACGTTCATCCTACTTGACAAATGAATTGATCGACTGGAAACTACCGTTTTAGGACGTTTCTCATATCAGTTGGAACAGAGCTATTATGGACATTATCGTATTGTTTTTGCGTTCTCACACCTATTGCTGCGTCAGTGTGTTTATGACGTCACACGATGAATAAACAAAACTTTATTTAGTCGTCAAGTAAATTTTAAAGCATTTAAAAATACTTCAATTAAAAATATCTACTTCAAGTAATTTCACTGGTACTTAAGTAATTTAATATCACTTAAGTACAAATTTTCAAAACCTTTCAAGTAAAATATACTTGACTGATATTTTAAGTATAAAGTACAAGTAAAATTTGAAAAACTTGAAATTGCAAGTACAAGTACCAATGTTTGGATTAGTACTTAAGTCAAATACTTAAGTATATTTTTGTACACAAGTATTTACTTCAAGTATTTAAAATACTCAGTACAACAGCTCTGTTAGAAAGAGACCTTCCTCATTTTCCTTCTGAAACATTATTCCTTATGACAAAAACAAACAGGATGGAGATAAACCTATCCAACGAGCTATTAATCCAAGGTGTTTCATTTGAAAAAACCTATGTATGGTTCATTATCCAAAAACTGTCACTTCTAGAGAAAAACTGACTTTGCTACTAGAATCTACGT